AAGTAGGCGCTGCCAAGCGAGAGCGCCCCGAGAAACGAGTGGGTGGCGGCGGTTTTGGCTACTATAAGCAAATGAACGACAGCGGTGGCAAGCAGCGCCACTTTAAGCAGGTCAATCGCGATCAGGCCAAGAAGTTTATGCGTTAATTCTTTAGCCTTAAGTATAAACCATTGTCTTTTATATAACATTATATACATTGTAGACATATGTATATGTAGCGAATGTGAATAAGTGTCTTCATTTCACAACTAATTTTGCATCATTATTTAAATTCAAACCAAAAGGCGCCCACACGGATGTGGTGTTTGCCTTATTTGTGTGTTGTTTATTTCACATATTTATTGTCTCCGCTTCAGCCGCCAGACTTTTACGAAAACAAAGTATTTGGCGATTCGAGCCCAATATGGCAAATGTGTTTTTTTGGCAAATTTTATTTTTATATAAATTGTTCCAGTTTATTGACGGTCAGATCGACTCAAACTGTTACAGTTTGACATGCCCGCCGACCAGGTCTTATTCAATTGAGCAATGCGTCGCCCACAAATGCTGCCATCAATTGAAATAGCATTGAGGAGCTGCAAACAATTTTCTAATAAAACTCGTTTAACCCACAACACCCACTTCACAGCCATAGCCACAGCCACACGCTGTCCAAAAGACAGCATCAAGAAATTAATGCGCTGCCTAATCAAACCAGCCAGCCAGGCATGGATAGTAACAAATTAATAGTTGTTTTTCAGGCCTGCGCCTAGGCGTGGGCGTAGGCGTTTTAAATGCCGAAAAACACACGAATACGCCCCCCGCATTAGTTGGTAACATGCAACTAAAGCCAGCGAGGCAGCACTTGCCACAGCGCAGCTAATCAAGCCAACACATGTTCGGTGAATGAAATCGAGTTAGGGCTGAAGCTGATGCTAATGCTAATGCTAATGCTGATGCTGATTCTGGTAGCAGCTTCGAAATTCATTCATGAGGCTGTGTTTATGAATGCACCAGTGTCAGCTAGTTTAATAAGCTAGTGCATATTTAAACACGCGAATGTTTAAGCCAAAATGGGCCGACGGAAATATACCCTGTAAACACCAACACACGCAGGAAGTTTGAATTCAGGAAGTTATTTCTTTCTTTACTTCCCATTTTCAAAATTGAATTCTACAATAACTTCTTTTAGATAAATATAATCATTTTGAAATCTTCAGGTCTTCAAAATGGTTTGATAAGGCCTCGCTGCATTACGCATAGTCAGACGGCCAGGGTTATATAGACTCTATATAAATACATATATAAGGAGTAGATGGGTACTATGCATGATACTAAGCATGAACTGCATCAATATGCCCGTTTTCAATTTTTATAATTACAGAGTATACGAACAATATTTTTTTATGAATGAAAATGCATTTGTCGCTGGTTGCTTTGGTTTTAATATTAATAAATCTTACTATGTTTAATTGATGCAAATCATTTTACTTTAAAACATAGTAAATTAGGAGAATCCGGGTTGCATTCATAAGCTAAGTAGTTTATGAGTGTGTTGTGTTCTCTTAGTTTAGTTGACTTTAGTTAAGAGTTTAGGTTCTGCTTATATTATAAATATCTCTTGGAATTTAGTAAATCTAACTATACACTATTTTTATTCAAATTAAGCTAAATGTCCGGATTCGTTCAAAGTTTATCGAAAAACTAATAAAAATACTTGAATACTTTCTGATGAATGAAAAAACGAGGATCCGGTTCGAATCCAACGCAAACTGTTAGATTTAGCATTGTGAAAGTGTTTACCGAAATGTTAGTTGTTAATAATATTATTATTATAGCAATAATAATAGCCATTTGCTATGATCATATATTTAATTATGTTCATTTTGCTGTAGATGCAAATCTGTCATAAATCTATGTCTGTATACCTCATATATCTAATTATATGTGCATCACAATTTTTGGAAATTATATGAGTTCAGTAATTTTGTGAATACCTCTTAGGTATACATTTTTGTTGCATGTATAATATATATATTTATATACATATATTATCGTTGTAATATAAGAAATGAAAATGTTCATTAAAGTAACTAACTTTTTATGTATTTAAAAAAATGTCATTACAACTTCAACTTTAGTCGGTTGACAATATAACCAGCAAAAGTTACCTAATAAGCTCTGATCAAATGGTATATCATTCTCATATTAAATTCCTATTCGGCTGGCTAAAGTTACAATTCAAAAACGACTCTCGTCTACCTGGGCTGAGCAGGTGTGTGGGTGTTGTAGCTGGTTTAATTTGGCTCACTCTGTGGTGGCGCCTACGCAACAGTTGTATGCGTAATGAAAAACCCACTGCAGGCTGTTTAATGGCCAACAACTTTGCTTTTAACCAATATGCCGCTGCTAATTGTACAAGCGGTGTGGGGGGGGGGGGGGCACTTTGTGTGTCAATTGCAAATTGTCCGAAAAAGCAAGTGTATCATTTTGTCGGCTAACATCAAAGCAGCTGCCATTAATTCGAATAGTCACCAAAAAAATGTGCAATCAAAAAGGGCAAATGCTGCACGCGGACATTTAAGGATGTCGTAGTGCGAAATATGGCTACCAGAGATGTTGGTAAATCTGCACAGTGGACAAAAATAGGCAAGTTCAACTAAATTGTAAAGGGATATAAGTATAATTATTCAAATGTCAAACATAAAAGTTTATTTACTATCACAAGGTATAAAGTCAAGAGCTGTTTGCAATTATAATTAGAATTAGGATGCAATAATGTTTATAGTTATAGATAAACGTATAGCATGTAATGTATATCAACCTGGAGAGAGGGTTCACAAAGCGCACCTGCAATCGATCGAGGGTTAATTTGATAACCTATTTTAGAATTATGAAGCTCTCGTACCATTGCAGAGTTTCACCTTATGAGATGAAGGTACACGTTGAGACGGGGTTTCGGGAAATTCCACCCGCAAGTGTGGAAAAATCACGAAATACGTTTGTTTGAAACTTTTTTGTTTACCGATCGTTTTCAAACTAATTTTCAAAGATCTTTGTTCAAATTCATATGAGGGGTGTTTAACACTTTTCGAAAAATCCATTGCTCTTTGGTGAATCCAAAATTCTTTGGTAGAAATGCGATTCAAAGATTTTTTGGGCGAAGTCTTAAGATGTGCCACGGGCAATGCCGGGTTATACCCGCAAGTCATTTATATAGTTATAACTAAACGTATACAAATTAAATGTACACACCAAGCTCAAGCAATCGATCGTTGTTTAATTTAAGTACCCAATTCAGAATAATGAAGGTCTCTATCTAGCTATCTAACTAAGTGTGGCACATACCAGGAAAGCTTATATTAATTGACTTAAGTTTAACTAACCTGGCTAAACCAACTTTTATTAAAGTTCTGCTGTTTCTACCGAACTTCCATGCATTTGCTGCACTGTAACCGGGTCGCTCGTCAATCTGTTGCCCGGACAACTGCCAAAAATTTTGCTGGCTCTGCCTCTGGTTTTTGGTCTATCCGGTTCTGGCTGCTGGTTCGAATAATTGAAATGCATTTTTCACGCAATTTTCCTCGTGTGTGTGCGTGAGAGTGCTTTGAGTGAAACCTAATAACACATGCTGGCGTGGTTGGGCGTTCGAGAGCTGGCGATAGTGTATTATGCCATATTCACCTTTTTGTGTGAAAATCATTCGCAGAAAATCATTGAACAATTTAAATACTATGCAGCTTGGCACCATTTGTTTTGGGGCCCACATTTTCAAATTGAAAGTGCTACCAAAATGGCCCACATACAAAGCCCTGCAGCTCAACGGCCCACGAATGAAATGATGTGTTGCTTTTTTTCTTTAGTTTTTTTTTTTATCGTGTGGATCTAGATGTGTGCGCATGTGTGTAGGTGTCAACAGCAAAATAGGCTTTGCTGGCTGTAAATCGAAAACCTATAATAATACAATGTCTAAATCTTTACGCTCGCTCTGACACATATATTCACAGTGGCAATAAAATGTATAATGTGACTATATAATGCCCGGCACCAGCCCACACACGCACACACACACATACATACACTGCTGACCATGCCAAGGTGCACACGATGTGGTTGGTCAGGTCGTCGGTGGTGGTGGGCGCCTGCTTTCCACTTCCACTGATTGAAAACTTTCACGTCTCTTTTAAGTGCATGCGGGTGCTGTATGTGTAAAGCGGTTGCTGGTGATGGCTTTTTGCGGAATACACGGAAGCCAGGCGCAAAACATACACAAAATGCCACAACTGAAACGCATTTGCAATGGAAAGTAAAAGTTGTTGCCGTCCAGGGACGCTTATATGGTGCGTTGCTGCCATCGCATGCGAATTCCAATTTTTTCCCACATACATTTAACTATTTGAGCATTCTGGCTCATAGGCAAGTTTAACACCAACATTTGGCTTTTTGGCTGCACATTTTCCATCTAGTACGGGTACGGGAGTAATTTGCATAGCCTTTTGGCCAAATGCCCACATATCTGACAATGCGTTGTATTCGGTTCTAATCGCATTCGTCGTTGCCTTCTAACAATTTCCGTACGTAATTAATGCCTCCACTCGCAGTGTTTTTTCCATAATTCAAATTGACGCCAACGCGCCAAATATGCCTTAACACGCGAGTGCAAGCGAGATAACTGCTGTTAACAGCGCATGATTGACAGGCTTAGAGCTGCCATCTAACAGAAACTGTTTGGTTAAAGCACCAATGTGCAATTTTTGCCCATTAAAAGGGCTAAAACAGACAAGTATGTATTTTATTTAATCAATTTCATTATGTTTAGTTATATATTTAAATAAAAAGGTTGATTTTAAGCTACAATTCTTAATTAAACCAAACAGCTGCGCATTATGTTTACTGTGGCAACGCTGGCAAATGATCTTCAATGCTGTTAAACCGCTGTTATACTCAAAATGGCATGCTGGCTCTCTTCGTTTCTTTTTCTTTCGGTAATGCGCTTTGCGTTCAGTTTCTTTTTCTCTGTCTTTGCGTGCGGTTCAGTTGTAGAAGTAGGAAGAATCGTTCAAGTAGAGGCGAGATCCGTGCGTTTTCCTTTTACCCGACTCGAATACATTTTATATAAACAAAAAAAAAAGGAATTCTTAAATATTAAATATATGAAGTGTACAACAAATGCAAATGTATGCAACTTTTAAAACAATATTATTGTGAAACACGCTGAAAGCAACCACCACACAAAATGGACAACAACACAAATAAAACATAATCAGCAGCAACAGTAAATTTGTGCATATTTCATGCGAAATTTTCAACCTTTTCATTTGAAATCATATTAATTGGTTGCTGTTCTTGTTGGCAATAAGCAAGTTGAGCATTCGAAATTTGTGAATTTGTGCTTACGAATTGAATGCTGCTGTAAATAAGATCTATGTTAATTTGCATATAAAAATTAATTTCTTTTTTGTTGTACTTGGGGCTGCTGCAGCCACAGAATGAGAATGAGAGAGAGAGAGAGAAAGAGAGCGAATGAATAGCAGCTATTTTGACATTCTGCTTTCATTCATCTCCGTTGCTCACGATTACGCTCACAAACTCATGCACAGGCGCATACAAATTAACTGCATCTGTGTGTGTGTATGTGAGTGCTGGCAAAACGGAGACGGCGACTGCGCCGTCTGTCTGCTCTTCCTCTTACTGATCGGAGGCAGCCGCACTGCTGCGTTGAGGAATTTTTCTGTCTTCATTTTCGAGTCGCTCTCTTGCTGCTGCTGCGCTGCCACCGTCGTGGTTGTTTTCGTTTGTTTCTTCAAAAACTTTTTGGGTGGAGTTGTTTTCAATCTGTTTCTGTTATTTATAAAAATTCAGCTCGTAACAACAACAATTTTGTGTATTTTATTTAGAAATAACTTTTAAACTCGAAACACCAACAAGAAATTAAAGCGAGTAACGGCAGCAGATTAAAAAAATAGCCTTTTGTTCAGCAATTGTGCAATACGTAAAAGACCAAGCGAAAGCAGAACACAGAGAAACTGTCGAAAAAGTTTAATACGCATCATAAAAGAATCTCGGCAACAGCTACAACAACAATATTGTGCAACACAAAGTAAACAATTGTAAAAGCTTAAACAAAACACACTCGCCCACACACATATACACACTCGCACACAACAACAAAATGAGTGTCTGTGAGAACAAGACCGTTGTGCAACAACAGTTGCAACAACAGGCCGCCGCTGCCGCTGCCGTTGCGGCTGCCGCAGCTGCTGCAGTTGCTCAGCAGCAGCAGCAGCAACAACAACAGCCCACGCAAGTGGTGCCACAGCCGCAGCACATGACGCCCCAACAACAACAACAGAGCACACAAAGCATTGCCGACTATTTGGCCCAATTGCTAAAGGATCGCAAACAGTTGGCCGCATTTCCAAATGTCTTTACGCATGTGGAGCGACTGCTGGATGAAGGTAAGTGATAAGTGTACTAGAAATTTAAATTAAAATCGATACACGTATGCAAAGATATATATAAATATATGTATTTAGCAAATCTCTTTGTGATCTTAGTACGTGCATAGCTCGAACTTATAGGTCTAGTAATCGGTTAATCGGCAATTAGAACCTTCAGAAATTGAATGCACCATTAATTAATATAATTATTCAGTAATTGGAATCATCAACAAGAGGTCTTAAATTGTTCTATTTCTGAAGAATTTATCATTTGATTCTTTCTGTTTCTACCATCTTAATCAAAAGTTTTTAAATTAAGGAGAAATTCATATCCTAAACTTAAACTTACTATGTTCATAAAGTATTGATTTTTTATTTAAATTTATAATCATATCTGTAGGCGAAACGTTTTCTATAAATTTCTCAATAAATTTTCTCCTTTAAAGATAGAAAATTGTTGCAATGCTTTTGTATAACACCTTTTATTATATCATCCAATAGATTTCAATTTTTTAATCTCAAGTATCTATGTGAAAAACTATTGAAGTCGTATTTCGCAACCTTTTAACTTTCTGTATAACAAAATTAAAATTCCGTTCGATTGGCTTTAGCCCTGCATGGATTTTGAGCTTATAAAATATATATTATATATATGTTAAATGTATATACATATGTATGTACATAATATGCTCGCATCTCTTATAATTAGGCGCCACCTTCAACTAAGGAACGCGCAACGCTCCCCCAATAAGCGCAACTTTGTTGCCTTCTATATTTAAAGTCTCTTCTGTGCCCTGATCTTGAGTTCATTCCACCTTGCTGAGAGCCCAAAGTCAACGCTGCCAACGCTGTCAGTTGTTTGTTATTTTTAGTTATTTCCCTTTTGTGTGCCACTTCGTTGTTGTCTCCGTTGCTTCATTTCTCTCTTTAAAGAGACAGCGCTGTTTGTTATGCTTCTCTCATCTTCGTCTGCTTTGCCTGCTGCTTCTATCAACGGGACCCCCACTCATGTTTATGGATGCAACAGTGGCAGGAGCCTTGATCCCTTCCGAATCTTAAAAACTGTTGCATTTGCGCAAAATGTATCCATATATGCGTGGAACTGTATATTTATCTGAATGGGGCGCGCCCGTCTGGTCGTACTGCCTGACCGCATGCCTCTGCCTGCTGCTACCCACGCCCTTGCCTCAGAAGCGCAAATACTCTCCAGAGAATCAACAAAAAGAGCCGAAAATCAATACAACGATAGTCAACAAGGCGCTGGCAATGGGCGTGGCACACAGGACCACAAAAATATAACTGTGCGACGACTACCTGGATGTTCGCAGCTCGCCAGTGTTGCCAGTTTCGCTTATTTCCCGTCAAATCTGGCCTTTTTTTGAGTTTGGGATTGCGGGAATCATTTAAAACTTTTTTTGTCCACTATTGTCATATAGGAAAGACTTTCTACAAAAAAATGAAAGTCAAAACATCCCTAAGTAAATATCAATTCCTAGTAAGTTAGTTATTTTACTAAAGGATTTACAGTCGGGGTCTTATTAAGATGTTGCGCACTCTATTCAAGGATTCTCCAGCTATAGATACATATTTGTTTTATATTTCTTTAGTTATGTATAGTCACTGAAAGTTATTCCAAATTAATTAACAAGTAAAGGAACGCATTGTCGGAGTAAAATTTACTTTCTTGGTTTTAACTTCCGCCTGAACCTCTTTGTTAGGAGAGTATCTTTGATTAGAACATGATAACCACCATATTTTGAGTATATTTTATACACAAAATCAAAACTCATTGCCCAGGTTATGCTTTTGTAAAATTAAATGTTGCTCCTTTAATCCTCATTTATCCCTAAACCTAGCTTTTTTTCTGCTTCTCAAAAGTTGGCAACACTGCAGCCCGCAGCATGTTTGCTTCGGTCAGAAACGCTTGATTTGGTTCACGCTGTTGTTGTTGTTGTTTGCTCAACATCTGTTGGCCATATGCATATATATGTATGTGCAAGTATATGTGTGCCGTATGTGTCGCCTCTTGGTAATGACAAAATTATGTTGCACAGATACAGATACACACACATAGATACAAAGAGCTAATGTACGTGCGCTGCAAACTAGTTTTTTGTCTACAAATTGTATTTGCCAAAAGCAAAGCGTTGACAATTTGTAAAACTCGTTCGACCAGCTACAAGAAAATGTGTATGAATTTTATTTTTTGGTTTTGTTTTCGTTTTTACCTGCTTGCCACCACCCACCCGCTAGTGCCACGCTCATCAGCAGCTGTGGGAGTTGGGCGTGAAGTTGAACTGCATGCCCGACTTATGCGATCACACCCGGACTCGGAGTAGGCTTGCGGGTTGTTCCGTTAACAGCTTGAGGCTTCTTAACTTTCTGCCAGAAGTTAGCTTTTCTGTCATTTTTGCTACTTTCTCTATTTCCAATTGCTGTTGTCGCATCGTTGGGTTTTTATGTGGTTGCGGCAGTGTCTGCTGCCAACATGCGGGCTGCCCAACTTCCCTATCGAATAAAAAACCCCACAAAACTTTAAGTCATAAATGTTTTTGTTTTATTATTAACAATTTTAGTCGAAATTGTTACTCATTACCAGATTCTGGTTTTCTGTACATGACCATAGTATAAAGTAGAGTATCCAAAATTTACGATTCTCTTCGGTACAGCTAATAACTGTTCTTTCTTGTTTTTTATTGGTTACAAAAAGTTTGCTTGTGCTGAAAACGAAATTTCAATTGCCATATGGGGATATTTTTGAATCATTTCTGTTGCAACCTGTTGGGCTCCCATTTGAATTGCATAAATATGTATAATGTGCTTGTGCCCCCACGGACATGCCCCCACACTTACACACTCGCACACACAGACACACACTCGCACATATTGCATGAATATCTGAGTACTTTGTTCGGTTTTTTGTTATTTTTCATGTTTTCCTCTTTCTTATTTAGAATTTCTTATTTATTTATTTGCCGCTTGTTTTTATTGCCTTCATTCGCTCGTCGCTTTTGGCACTGCTGACATAAATTTCGTTGTTCACTTCGTTCTTTTTCTTTTTGTTGGGGGTAGTGACTCATGTCTAAAAAAGAAAAAAATTTTAACAAAATTAAGAAGCGAAAAAAGCTGAAGATATTGTTCGGCGCTTATTGTATCTGTATCTGTTAGATACACATGACACATGCCGTCCAAGCACGTTTCTAGCGTATTTGTATCTTGATGCATGCCGAGCAATTTGCACAGTTGAAGTGTGCCTAGACTGTGGAAAGACGACGTCAACGACGGTGCGCACGGTGTGCTCGGATTACGGCGACGCAGTCCAAGCATAACTGCACGTACTATCTGCGAAATATGTATAAAGTATATATAGTAAATATATATCCGAGAGTGTCTTCCGCATGACGTCTGATGTTAACAATATGAAAATGCTGCAAGGGCTGTATCTGTATCTGTATCTGTTGCTGTATCTGAATCTGTATCTGTAGCTAAAGCCGTATCTGTATCTGTAGCTGAATGTGTATCCCATTGCTGTCTACATCAAAGCAGAACACAGCTCTGATCAAATTATTATTTAAAGGTGTTTTTTGGCCCACGCATTGGCCGAAATAAGCCCAACAACAACAACGACAACAACAACTATCAACTTAACATATCAAAAATTCTGTTGTTGCTCTTTCTTTGTATCTCTGGCACGCAACGCAGCGGCCGCGATCTTATAGATACACAAACTCTGTGTGTATCTCGCGTTGTGCATTTAAAAAATCAAATTACGTACGGACTACACCCGCTATACGGACTATAGCGCGCAAATGTTTACATAGTCACAGCTATAAATATTTATATATATAACCTATATGCACGTATGCTTCAGAGTCTTGTGTATATATATATATATCTACTTGGCATTTCTCTTTCAGATACATATACGCAGCAACATTTTCAGCGGTTGGCATTTTTTTTTGTTTTTCATGAAAAATTTGAAATGTGTTTCATTTCGTCTAATTTTAGATGATTGGAAATGGTTTCTAGCCTGTTGAGAAGTCGCCTTGGAATGCTCTGCTCTCTATTTGAGTGTTTTAGGGCGTTGTTTGCAATTTAGATGGAAGAGCATCCGTATTAGCTTGGCTTGGAATGCAAATAAAGCAATGCTAAAATGCATTATCAATCGAACGCTTCATCGAACGCTTCGCAAACAAATTAAATTTTAAATTAAAAAACAAAAAAAAAAACACAAAACGCGCAATGAGCGCTTTTGAATTTCAATTTCAATTCCATATCACTCCGGTCTCAGGTCCGGAGCCCAGAGACAATGTTTATACGAGTAGTTGGGTTGACGTCGTGCTCATAAATTTGTTGACAATTGTTATGCGAAACGCGTGGGCACAGCTGGCAAACCCTCTAATAACCCCTCGCACTCTGCACCCAGCACCCAGCACCCGCAGCACATTGTTAGCTAGGTGAGGAGAGCTGTGAGGGGGTAACTCTCTCTACACGTCCCATTGCGTTTTTCAAATTCAATTAAAATCTCTTGTCATGGCGACCGTTGGCTGTTTTGATTTGTTGTTGTTTACGTTTATGCGTTTTATGTTGGCTAACTCGGCATTATGGGCGCTACCAAAAAAAGAATCAGCCAAGCGTTTGCCCATTGCAGTCGGAAGTTGACCATGGCCAGGAGCTGGCTGCATTTCATTATTGACCATTGAATAACTGTACCGCAAATGAAGCAATTGACCAGGCGTACAAACAATTGCATTTGCTAAATTCATTATATGATGAAAGGGCATTGCTCGATGCCGATCATTGATCACTGATCACTGAGCACTAAACGTTGACAGGCGAAAGTTGTAAGTTAAACTTATTGGTTTTGGCTCAACGGTTGGCTGGGCCTGATATGGAAAGTGGGTGGGAAAATGCAGACTGTCGATTGCCATTCCATATTATCTATCAGCGTAATACATTTTTATTGTGTTGCTTACGAGAGTACAAAATGTTTTTCATCTTTTGATAAAATCATCAATTGAGTTAAGTTCTATTTAAGTATTTGCGAAAATATTTTATATGAAACCAGATATCGAAGCATAGCGCATAAATCATTATTCGATAAGCTCGGCGGAGAATAATATTTTTTTTTTCAAATGAGTAAATCGTAAAAAAATCAATTCTATTTGTTTTCAATACGAAACCAATATATAAACAAAATAAATCCAGTTATCAGTTAAGAGCTCGTTCATCGCAGATATTTTAAACAGTCGCATTTCTTGTGCGCAAACATTTGCGAACCTTTTTGTACAGTTTTGAAAGCCAATTAGCAAGTTTCATTTTTGTTTTGGTTTTATTTTGCTTTTAACTAACCGATGGGAGAATTCATAGAAATGCGCTCATCTAGGCAGCAGCTAAATATGATATCTCCAGCCAAGCACAAATGACTCAGCACATGGCACATGGCAATCCCGTAGATACAAATGTGAATATCTGCAGCCTTCAATTAGCATTTTCAAGTGCCTGCCAGTTGAGTTGGCTACCGCCTCCCTTGCGCCCCTAGATTGCGTCATTTTCATCTTGCATGACATTTGATACACACAACGTGCAACAAATTCTGAACAGCGCAAAAAAAAAGAATACGAAACACAAAATTTTGACAAAAATAGCTAAAAATGCTGAAAAGCTCGTAATTAAAATGTGTTTTGCATGCTCATGTTCCACACACGCACGCCTCACACAAACACACACACTCACACATTTGTTGACTCCATGCATGGCACGCGACTACCAGCAGCAGACTCCGCAGCAGGGGCAACATTGGCAGCCATGTGGCATTAGACAATTGCTTTAATATGCCGGCAGACAGTTGCCGCCGCCAAGCCGCACAAATTGAACAATTTGATAACAAAGCGCAATACTTGAGAGTGCGAGATGCAAAAGGCAACAAATTTCGCTTTGAAGTTGTGCCATATGGTCGCATGGCCGCAACTTCAACTTTAACTCGAACTCGGCTGCGTGTGCTCTCTGCCATAAATGGGAAGACGATGCCACTTGAGCTGTGGCAAGTGAATCACTTTTATTGTGCAATGCCTATCGATTTTTATGGCCGATCAATTGGATTTTTCAATTGCCCCAAAAACGGGCAACTGTGTGTGTGTGAGAGTGAAAAATGCAAAGCCGAACGGCTGACTGTCATGTGAAATGCGGGCACAACCTCACACACACGCACACGCGCACTCACCCCTATTTGCAATTAAATATTATGCACTTATAGATCATTATTGTTTCAGATATTGTTTGTGGCAAGGCGAAACAATAGAGTGACGTCCACTTGCTGCGGCTGACAAAAACATGCTAAAGAATCTTAAGCGAATATGTCATAAGTTTGAATTAAACATGAATAGTGCTATATGCATACATGTATTTATAGCAATTAAATGCGTCATTTGCCGAAAAAGAAATAGCGCCAGATTTAAGTTAATTGTTCGCTTTGTTGTTGCTGTCATTGGATATGTTTAACAGCTATGTTAGCGGCGATATGTATCTTGCAGATACGCGTACGCAATAGATATACGACGACAGCATGCAAATGTTTGCAGCAGATAATTAAAACGTGGCATAAGCACAAATATTCACACACACATGAAAGCAAGCTCTTGCTACAGCTACTTTTGTATCTTTGTATCTTTTGGCTGTCTGCAATTGAGAAATTTACCAAAACAACGCGTATTTACTTGTGCAGCATGAATGAACGTTGTCACGTTGTTTTTAATGTATATGTGTATGTAAGTGTTGTGTGTGTGTGTGTTGGCATTTTGGTGTATCTTTTGGGGCCGCCAGCCGTTTTAGTTTTACGCTATTTTCGCATTAATGCGTCGACTAATTTCACGCACTTTTGTGCCGTTCAACTGTTTCGATTGAAAGTCTTAAGTATTTCCCAAAATTTCGCAACTCTCACGCCCCCATGACGCCCTAATTGTTGCATTTGCCATCAGCTGTTTCATTTCGTGCCGGTGTGCGTATGTCTATGTGCCGCGTTGCATGTTGTCGCTGCTACCACTACCTTTTGTCGTTTTTGTTGTTGTTTATGTTCACTATGGCACTTTTTTTGAAATGACATTAAAATTGAATGTCGTGCTGCCACGTTTTATTATTTTTCCTCTCTGCGTATTTGGGTTAAATGCCATTTCTTATGTGCAAACGTTATGTGCGTGGGCGCCACATTGCCATATGCGGCTACAACCGATCAGCAGGCCAAATACAATATTCAATAGTTTAACAGTCTTTGAAAACTTATAATATAGACATTTAACAGCAATGGCGAGCTATTGACATCATGGTTTTGTTATGTTAAAAGTTTGAAGCAAATAGTTTGCAACTGTTATTTCGTTTGGAACTGTGTATTTCAACTAGACTTTTTGTTCGCTTCTTTAAAAAAGCTGTTATTAGCATTGTCTTATGTTTAGTTACAGATGTTAAAGTAAAAACCTTTAAGTTTTTACAGCTTACCCAACAGCAGCGCCAAAGTAAACCAGAACCAGAAAGCATCAACTGCTGTTTAAGTCAATTGCACAGGTTATACGAGATGCATCATCGTTAGCAGCAACAGCAGTGGCAGCCGCAGCTACATTGAGCAATGGCATTCAATTTCCGCTTCACTTTCAAATGCACAACTGCCCACTCTTGCGGGCCAGACTGTTGCCAACCCAAGGACATCTTGTGTCTTATCAGAGTAACTGACAGTTGGATGAATGTCATTGGCATATGCGGCGATGGCCATATGAACGAGTGCACTTGCATTTTCTAAAATGCCAGTCGGGCCAAACGGGCTTTCGGCCAGGTTATATGGGGACGGGGACGTAGGCTTTTCCGGTTTTCCACGCACAAGCCCACACCAAAAATATTTCTTGTATTTTGTCAGACAAAGCGACAGCATAAATACAAATAAAAAAAGGCAGGTAAATAGTATACAAAGAAATAGGGAGACATCGTTGCCAGTTGTCGCAGCCGCCTTTTGACTAAAAATAAACAAAATACGTGGGCGCACAAAGGTGTTAAGAACAAGTTGCACAACGCTGAAAAGGAAACCTGCAATGCTGAAATACATATAATAAATGCTAATAAATAGCTATATATACTATTGTTGCACAGGGTCGGCTATGAGATACCCCGTAGCAGTTGCTGAAATGTTAACAGGCTTAAGCAAATATATTGTATTTACTTGTGATGGGATTTAATTACTACTTATAAATCAATCGAGCTATTTATTTAATTATGCTATTTGCATAGCTTGAACATTATTTCAAACTGTAATAGCTTAATCGTAAATTAATGTGTTAATTCAAGTACAAATTGTTAACAGTGTGTAAAACACCCTATAGCTTAATTGTACGCAATACAACTACAAATACAAATAATAAAAAAGGCGGCAACTCTTTGACTTTTGTCTTGAAAACGAGTTGCTGTACACTTCAATTTTGGTCAAGCATATTATAATTATGCATATACATACAACTCTCAACGCTCAAGTACATACTTACCTACATACATGTGTTCATAAATAAATAAATAAATATGTATTTGGTTTTTGTACTTTCAGTAACAAAACAGATAGCTGTGACAGTGGGTAGGAGGACAAGTGGTAGGCAGTTAAGACGGGGCTCTCTGTAATAATTTATAGCAATAGCGAGAGCTCTTCATGTATTGTCTTTGGCTTTGGTTTTGGCCCTGTTGTTGCCACATTCGTATTATAACTGAGTGTATGTGTGTGGAGGGCTCTGTGCGACGTGCGTCACGTTGCGTATGCGCGATAAACAACATTAATTATACGCCAAGTAAAAGGCAGCACGATCAAGTGACATGCTGCGTAGTCACAAGTAATGCATGGCCCATTTCAAGCGCTTAAGAGACGCCCACAGCTCATACATACTTATACATATATATAAATGTATTTATGTTGTTTCGAAATACGTTGGTAATGAATTTCGCTAGCCGTTTTTGTCTCGCTGCGATTTGTAAATAATTTAATTATAATTTAAACCAAATACAGACATTGTGTTCGCTAATTATAGTTAAATAACCTTTTGTAGAAATATGAAAACATGACATAAGCGACACGAAACCAACTTGTCAGGGCTACTCCCAAATGACAAGTGCAGCTTTCACTCATAAAACCAATTTACTATTTTTTCTACTGCACAAAATACCCATTCACAAGGCATGTGTTTATGCTTAAATGCTTAGGCACTCGAAAT